GCTGAGATGCGAGCAGCTATCGTCGGATCATCAGGATGGAATGAGAGGTAGAGTTGAGTGTCATCAGCATAGCAGTGATATGAAAAGCCATGGGCCCTATTTTAAAGATCTAAGCGCATGGTCTAAAGCGCACGGTGCAGGTGCACTTAGGGCGTGTCCAAATCCACTTTTGCTAATTTAAAGACAGGAAAAACGGTCTGCGCGCCCGGCGCATGGTCTAAAAGGGTTGTCCCTATTCTCTTAATGAGTAATGGGTGTGTTTTGGGCATAACATGCAATAAACCAATCAGAGTCTCATCTCCCATTCCCTTTAAGAGCCAGTTGCACTCGTGCCATGGCGGATTTGCTATTTACACGGCGGAATTTGCAAGAGCAAAGAAAGAATGCGTCTCCAGAGAGGAAACGGAGCTGCTCGTGTGTGAGCAAATAGGTAGCCTAATTCTGATACATGCAATGACTATCCATTATGACATGTAGGCATTTTTATATTTATGTAGCCTACACAATAATAATCTTTTACATTGCAATCCTTTAATTTTTTATATTTGGCATGTTTGTGTGTTGCTTTGCATCCCTGTGTGTGTAATAAGCAGAGTGTACGCTCGCTGTGGACCCGTCTATACTAACGCGCTCTTTAAATAACAAAACAAATACTGCGCCATTGACTTTAGACCAGGTTTTTGTTGGTCAATGGCGCAGTCTATTTCAGTTGCCTCAAAATAGCAATGCGCCAGAACACACCTCGTTTTCAGACCAGCACTCCCAGGGGCGCACAAATGGGCGCAAATGCATTTGCTATTTAAACAACGTGGCGCAGGTCGTGAAAATGAAACATGCACAACGCTGACCTCATACGTCATCAGCCCGGAGCTGCTTCCGTGTACAACTGTTGGCGCAAGCTAGATTAAAGTGATTATTATGTTTTGAATATGGATATTTTTCTTACAAAAACGCATCGATTCACTACAGGAGGCCTTTGTTCACCCCCTGGAGCCGTGTGAGACACTTTTTTTATGGATGGGCGCTTTTTATTTAACTTCTTTTGGACTGAAGCACTGCAACACCCGCTGACTGCAATGATAGAGCTTGGAATAGCCAGGACAATTTTTAATATAACTCCAACTGGATTCGTCTGAAAGAAGAAAGTCATATACACCTAGGATGCCTCGGGGGTGAGTAAAACACAACCTAATTTTCATTTTTGGGTGAACATCCTGCTTGATAATTTTTTTTGCATATTTCTTGATAAGATCGATAAAATGTTTGTTTTTTTGCATACTGCTTGATAAGATCATTAAGATCTTTATGTTTTTTGCATACTACTTAAGTTTGGTAAGATCTTTAAGGTTTTTTGCGTAATGCTTGATAAGAGCTTTACTTTTTTTGCATACTGCTTGATAAGATCTTTACGTTTTTTTGCATACTTCTCAATAATAACGATAAAATGTTGCTTTTTGCATACTGCTTGATAAGATCATTAAGATCTTTACTTTTTTTGCTTTACTGCTTGACAAGAATTTTAGTTTTTTGCATACTGCTTTATAAGATCTTTACGTTTTTTTAGCATACGGCTCGATAAGATCAATAAAATATTTGTTTTTTTGCATACTGCTTGATATGATCATTCAAATCTTTTTTTGCATACTGCTTGACAACATCTTTAGCTTTGTTGTGTACTGCTTGATAAGATCTTTACATTTTTTCATATTAAGATTGATACAATCTTTACATTTTTTTGCATACAGCTTGATAATATCTTGATGTTTCTACATACTGCTTGATGAGATCGATAAGATTTTTACACTTTTTCAAAGTCGTAGTGCAGTTGCAATTCACTAGATGTTCCTCATACAAATATGGTTTCATATCACTAGGAATGCAGCACAAGAATTACATGGATACCTTTTAAGCCTGACTCTTCCAGACCTCAATCATTTATGCTGTCTGGATTAAACAGCATCTCCCTGAAACAAGAATGTCATTTGTTTCTTTAAGGGGTTTACTGTTTGTTAATGTCAAACTTGTTTACAGACTTGGGAATTCCAATGGGAATTATTTTGAAGTACACCCATTTCACAATGACAATCATTCTTGGTGTACCACAACAATGATTTTTACTCCGTTTAGTATGTGAGGTTTTGAATGCTGGGGTAAGTTACAACACACACAATGTTACAAAAGATTTCTATTTCAAATAACTGTTGTTCTTTGGAACTCTCAATTCATCAAAGAATCCTGAAAAATGTTTATTGGTTTCCACAAAAGTATATGAAGCATCACAACTGTTTTTAACACTGATGATAAGAAATGTTTCTTGAGCAGCAAATCAGTTTATTTTAACATTTTAAAATAAATTTAAATAAAAGAAATAACAGTTCATTTAAATTGCTATAATATTTCACAATATTACTGTTTTACTTCATTTTCAATCAAATAAATGCAGCTTTGGTAAGCATAAGAGACATCTTTCAAAAACTTAAAAAAGTCTTACCGACTCCAAACTTTTGTACGATTTGTAAAAATTCATCACTGCAACAACAATTGGGTAAACAAGTGAACACGATAAAATCTAATTAAATGTGATGAAATACATTCAATTACAATGTAATCCCAGAAAGCAGTGCTTACCATAGCTGAGGTTAACATGCCTTTGTAGCTCCTGATGCGAAGCAGGGTTTTTCAGACTAAATGTGACATTGAACACTGGGCTCTGGGTTACGTAGCTGCTTTTTAAGTAGTACAATCCTCCGTCTGATGCAGACGAAACCTCCAGGTCGTCAGTGAGATTCTGACCTTCTGACCCCAGCCACATGACCTCTGGCCTCGGGTAGCCCTCTGTCTCATATTGGACAGTCACATCAGTGGATTTGAGAAGGATGCTTAACCTCGGTTCAGAATAGAAAGCTGAAGACACGAAACACACACAAAGATTTACCAGATCATCTCTCACATCAAATTATTAGAAGTCAAAATCAAGTGACAGAATATGAATCCATGTGACTTGGTATATGCATTTGTACAGAGTACACGACTTGTTTAAATGCAAACAAAGAAAAAATATACATTGGCATTAGTGTCTGTAATATTACAAATATTCTCAGTTCCCTTTTTTCCATTTCTCATTTTGTGTTGTACCAAAAACATTACAACGCACAGGTTTGGAATTACATGACAGAACTGGACTGTTGATTAATGTTTGGCAGGGTTATAAGGTATTAAAAAACTTTGTTGCTTGAATTAACAATAAACTTTAACTGAAATTAAAATTTAAAAAACAACATTTCTCTTTTTCATTTAGTCTAATGATGTACTAAAATAACTAAAACTGAAATAAAAATGATATAAATACAGACATTCAAAAAAATAAAATTAATAAAAATTAAACATTACAAAAGCTAAAATTACAATGAAAAAATATATAAAAATATAAACAATAATATTAAAAATATATAAAAATAAAAGCTACTAAAAATATATATATATCTCAACGAGTATAGTATCTCATTAGCCGCGTTTCCACTGTCGGGCCAGCAGCGGGCGTGCTAGTGCGTGCCAGGGCCAGTCGCGTTTCCACTGTCACTTCCGGGGCTTGATTGTGCCTCGTTGGTGCTTCCTCGGGGCCAACGGCCCGGGTTTTGTGGCCCGACGAAAACCTTGGGCCAAAGCAGGCCAGCTAGGGCTAAAGGAGTGGTTATGAACAAAGGCGGAGTTTCTCCGGGTCTGGAGAGCGTCAGCGCCGCGGATCATTTCATAAAGTTAACAGCTATAACACCAGCATTAAAGACTTTTAAAATAATTTTAGTTCAAAACTCACTTTCAGACAGCAGCGAGTGTTTGAAATAACTTGATCCGATGTGGATTATGATCACCATACAAGGCAGAAATATTTATAAGCGATGCAAAAGACTATGCACGCTAGCCATTAACGTTACCATAGTAACATGGTAAATACGACCGCTTGAAGAAATCAAATGTCAGCTTCTGTATTTATCGTGTATTTATTTAGTTACATGTTTTATCTGTCATAAGTCTCGTCTCGAGAGTTTAGCGGGGGTTGCGTGACGTTGTTCCTGAGAGGCGTGTAAAGGGCGGGTTTTAGTAAAGTGCAACGGAGCTTCTAGCCCGATGGTGGAAACGCAGTGTGATTTTGGCCTCGGTGCTACAGGTCCGAGGCTATTAGCACCGCCCGGTCTGTTTAAAGCACTGGCTCGCACTGGCCTGACAGTGGAAAAGCGGCTATTGATACTAAAATAACACTGACGTACCCGCATAGACCAGCTGCACTACTCCTCTGCCAGTTCCCTTGCCATTGCTCACTATGCACATGTAGTTCCCTGCATCCTTCAGTCCAATATTGGCTATACTCAGGGATGCGTTTCCTCCAGCAAATTCCTCGTGATTTAACTTCGTCCGGTTTAAATAATCTGAGTTTTGTCGATCGAGCTGGTCTCTCTCGTAGTAGAAGCTGTGGACCACCCGTGAGTCTTCCTGCCGTTGCCATGTGATCACCAAATTAGAGATGTTATAGTCTGGTTCAAATTCACATGGAAGAAGTGCCGTGGCTCCACGGACCACAAGTATAGGACTGGAGGGTACTGTGACGCTAAAGGAGTCTGGAGATAAGAAAAATTAGACTGAGAGGATGTTTGGTTGAAGAAGTAATCTGTATTATTTAACAACACTGGAATGTATATAAACTCAACAAAAAAGAAACATCGCTTTTTCAGGACACTGTACTTTAAAAATCCAAATACACTTTACAGATCTTTAAGTGTTTTAAACATGTTTTTCATGCTTGTTCAATGAAGCATAAACAATTCTTGCACATGCATCATGCAGTGTGGGTTTCGTTTTGAGTGAAAACATGACGGAAGGCAGAGTGTTGAGAGAAATTATATGAAAGAATGTATGAATGAATGAATTCTATTGGGAACCGTCTGTCTTCAGAAAAGTTTAAATGGCTGGCATTTGCTTTTCATTTACCCTGTCTGCCGTTTCTGTTCAGACCAATGTGAAAATTGGACCAAATTTTTGATGTAAATCTTAACTGGTAGATGGAAAACAAGCTAATGTGCTTTCTATAAAATCTCAACACTTCGGATAATAAGGTAGACTATGTAGAATGGTTTATGAAGCAGATAAATACATTTAATTTAGCATTTTGGCTCATCCTTTTCTTAAAAATGATTTAAAGGCTGAAATGTGAGGTTTATAATTTTATAAAACTTCCCTTTTGTCAAAATTTTATTTGAACATGTAATAGCCTACATGTTAGTAGACAGTCACCCAAGTCAGAAAATGGTGGCGCGTGATTACGCAGCGGCTTGGTGCTCTCAGTTTGTTGTTCGGTTTTGTTTGTCAGTTCAGACATTGAACACTGTTATTCAATTTGGAAGAGCTGAACTTTTAGATATTGGGAGATGATGCCAACTTTATGCACCCACAAAGCTGGACTTTATACCACCGGAGATTCAGCAGACCTGTGAAGCTACTAACGTCCCGCATAAGTGGCACCGGAGGTGGAGAGGGGAGCGGAGGCAAAAGCGGGGCATTATCAGTAAGACACTTAATATACTGACATTACCACTTGCACACAGCAATTTCTGTAATATTTTATTTATTTACTTTTTTACCTCTATTGCATTCCTGCTCATCTTAATATTTAAGTCTACAGTATACTGTCCTGCGCGTTTTATCTTATTCTTATTTTTTTTATTTTTTCCATACTTATATTTATATATAATTTTCTTGTGTTTGTATTCTTTAATAATTGCAGAGCGGACCTGACTTACATTTCACTGCTGGTCATATATTCTCTATATAACCATGTATGTGACAAATAAAAATCTTGAGAGGCGGCCTATGTGCTAAGCTACATGCTAACTCCCATAGAACAGCCCTTCCAAGTCTCTTTCTCACAAATTCCCGGTCAATCATCAACAAGATGGATGAGATACGGCTGAGGATTATGTCGCGCGGCATGGATAGCTGCGTGATGATCGTCACAGAGACTTGGCTTAATAACAACATACCCGACGAGGCTATTGAACTGGAGGGAGAACTGAGTGCTTCAACTTCCCGACCAGGGACAACAATATTTTGGACCAGGTCTATATGAACATCCCAGGGGCATATAAAGCTGCAGCATCTCCGCATCTTGGCATGTCAGACCACATCTCGCTGGAAATGATACCGGCCTACAGACCTCTTATCTGCCGATCAAGACCAACTGTTAAAACCATACAAGTCTGGAGTGTGGAGGCCATCTCAGCGCTTCAGGACTGCTTTGATTGCACTGACTGGGGAGTGTTTAAAGAGAATGCGGATATAGAGGAGTGCACCTCGTATGTTCTGGCCTATTTATATTTCTGCATGCACTCCGTGCTGCCCACTAAATCAGAGTGTTTCCTAACCAGAAACCGTGGCTGGACAGTACGGTGCGGTCTTTGCTTAAAGCCCGAGATGTTGCCTATAGGTCAGGTGACGTGCTGGCCTACAGGAGAGCCCAGAGAGATCTGAAGAAAGGCATACAGGAGGCTAAACACAGGTACAAGAAACGTATTGAGGGACACTTTGATAACAACATAACAGACTACAGGGGCAGCAAGCAGATGATCAGCCAGGATCAGGAACTCCCTGACACCCTGAATCAGTTCTTTGCCCATTTCGACTCACAAGGTGGTGAAGAGACAGTTCAGCTGTCCAAGTTTGAAGAACAGCGGCAGCAGACTCTTGTACTTCAGTGTCATCAGGTGAAGGCTGCACTGAGGAAAATCAACGTCACCAAGGCCGTGGGGCCAGACCAGGTGTCAGGTCGGACATTGAAATTATGTGCAGACCAACTTGCAGGAGTGTTTCAGAACATCTTTAACCTTTCACTGCAGCTCAGCGTTGTCCCTGTTTGCCTTAAATCCTCCATTATTGTACCTGTGCCTAAAAAGTCAGCTGCTACCTGCCTTAATGACTATCGCCCAGTGGCTTTGACCCGTCATTATGAAATGCTTCGAGAGGCTTATTCTGCAGCACATTAAGAACATTGTATCTCCGGAATTAGACAGCTACCAGTTTGCTTACAGGGAGAATCGATTTACGGAAGTGGAGGGCCAGAGCCCTGCAGAGTTTTGTTCCAACCCTGCTCCAACACACATACCATGTAGTTTTCAAATAAGCCAGAAGGACTTGATTAGTTGGATCAGGTGTGTTTAATTAGGGCTGAATCTAAACTCTCCGGCGCTCCAGGAATTGAGTTTGACACCCCTGATCTAAGCGCATGGTCTAAAGCGCATAGCGCAGGTGCACTCAGGGCGTGTCCGAATCCACTTTTGCTAGTTTAACGACAGGAAAACGGTCAGCGTGCCCGGGCACATGGTCTAAACGGGTTGTCCCTATTCTCTTAATGAGTAATGGGGTTTTTTTGGGCGTAACGTGCAATAAACCAGTCAGAATTTCATCTCCCATCTCCTTTAAAAGCCAGTTGTGCTCGCGCCATGGCGGGTTCGCTATTTACATGGCGGAACCTTTCACTTCTTTCACCTTTCACGTCACAGGACATCTTTAACCTTTCACTGCAGCTCAGCGTTGTCCCTGTTTGCCTTAAATCCTCCATTATTGTACCTGTGCCTAAAAAGTCAGCTGCTACCTGCCTTAATGACTATCGCCCAGTGGCTTTGACCCGTCATTATGAAATGCTTCGAGAGGCTTATTCTGCAGCACATTAAGAACATTGTATCTCCGGAATTAGACAGCTACCAGTTTGCTTACAGGGAGAATCGATCTACGGATGTCAGGATGCTATTAGTCGATTTCAGCTCCGCTTTTAATGCAATAATCCCCTACAAACTGGTACAGAAACTCTACGATTTGGGCCTGTCCACCTCATTGTGCTTATGGATCAGAGACTTTCTAACCAACAGGCCACAAGTAATAAGAATAGGGGACAACACATCGTCTTCCCTCATTCTGAACACAGGAGCTCCGCAAGGATGCGTGCTCAGTCCAGCACTCTTTACTCTCTTCACACACGACTGCACCTCTATCCACGCCTCCAACACTATTGTGAAATTCGCCGACGATACCACCGTAGTGGGTCTCATATCGAACAATGATGAGACTTTCTACAGGGAGGAAATCCATCACCTGGACCTGTGGTGTTCAGCAAACAATCTGGTTTTGAACTCCAATAAGACCAAAGAGGTTATTGTGGACTTCAGAAGGTCCGGAAGGACAGCAAATACACCACTGCTCATACAGGGGGTAGAAGTGGAGCATGTGGAAAACATCAAGTATCCACATTTCAGCGGACCTCACTTGGGCCCTGAACACCTCCTACTTGGTTAGGAAAGCTCAACAAAGACTTTGCTTCATCAGGAAGTTGAAGCAGGCTGGACTCTCCTCTCGGCTGCTGATAAATTTCTATAGGAGTGCCATAGAAAGCATCCTATGCTATTGTGTAACTGTGTCGTATGCCAGCTGCACAGCACAGGACAGGAAGGACTTGGCCTCGGTGGTTAAGACTGCACAGAGGATTGTTGGGGATCCACTTCCAGATCTGGACTTGGTCTATGCAGAACGCCTCCAGAAGAAGGCCAGGAACATTGCTGCAGATCCCACCCACCCGGGGGCAGAGGTACAGGACCATAAAAGCACACACAAACAGACTGAGAAACAGCTTCTTTCCAAGAGCTGTGACCTCTATTACACCCCTTGCATTCACACCCTCAAGCTAATGACATAAATTGCACTTTATTTTGTGGTAACTGTTGTCTGTTATTTATTGTTGGATGATTTAAGTTGTTGTTCTACCTTTGTTTAGTTTGTAACTGAGACTCACCAGACAGAATTTCGTTGTACCTATGTACAATGACAATAAAGTACATTGAATTGAAGCAGTATTTTCTGTCTGTTTAAAATCCGGCCATCTTTTTTAATGTTATTATTTTGCTTATGCATACAAAAAGTGCATAGGTCTGCTAATTTAAATTGTTGTTTGAGTATGAGTACTTTTAGAACATTCCCAGCACATTTTAACATCATTTTGATATACATGATTATTTTGGTCACTATCGTGATATGACATTTTCATACCGTTTCATCTTTAACTACTATTTTTGATATTGACCCCCCGCTCTGTTCTTGGACTCATTATTACATTTATGTTCATCAAATGTATGTTAAATTTGTTCTGTTTATGTCTCGGTTGTTGAATATATATTTAAGAATTACATTTAAATTATTATATATATATGAAAAGGCATTGCAAACTGTCTGTTGGGAGTATGCCTGCCTGAGCGTGTTTGCCATCTTTTTTAATGTTATTATTTTGCTTATGCATACAAAAAGTGCATAGGTCTGCTAATTTAAATTGTTGTTTGAGTATGAGTACTTTTAGAACATTCCCAGCACATTTTAACATCATTTTGATATACATGATTATTTTGGTCACTATCGTGATATGACATTTTCATACCGTTTCATCTTTAACTACTATTTTTGATATTGACCCCCCGCTCTGTTCTTGGACTCATTATTACATTTATGTCCATCAAATGTATGTTAAATTTGTTCTGTTTATGTCTCAGTTGTTGAATATATATTTAAGAATTACATTTAAATT